TGCCCCGCCTGTAGATCTTCCACGCAACCCATCCGTTTCAGCCGATACCTTGCAGGTAAACTTCTTCATTCTTATAAGCAAATCCAAACTTTTTCCCTAGTTTTTAGAAATTTTGATTTGACTTTCAAAATATCCATATACTTTGCGCTTCTGGGAGGTGGATGGTCACAGTCTCTTGTTACAGCTCTCTACCCACACTACCAATGATGTGTTTTCTTTCATTGTGATCCGAAAGTCGACAGGAAGACGACTTTTCGATACAAGTTTGGGTTGGTTGCTGTTTAAAATTACCAGATTGAGATCTGTGGGTTTTATTAGCAACATTTGAATGTAAGTGTGTTACTTCTACAAACTTTAGGAGGATTAATCTTCTCTGATAAGTTTCTTCAAATCGCTGCTTATCTACCTTCGGATGCTATGTACGGATGGGGCGAGAACGTCCATCCATCGCTGAAAGTCAGCCTTGAAATTTATTTTGAAATTATTATTGATTGATTGAAGACTTTTTAAGCACGACTTTACAACGTACACCACATGGGGTATGCTAGCAAGAGATGAACCTCCAAGTTCAGCTGGTCTGATTACCAAGAATCTCTATGGTAAGGATTAATAACTAGTTAGTACCTCGTTTGTGAGTGAATGTCACAGTGACTTTTAAGGTGTCCACCCATTTTATATGGTTGTTGAACCAGATGGAAATGCCCATGGAGTCTTCATTCTTAACAGCAATGCGCAGGTAAGGATGAGAACCAACTCAGTAATGATATGACCAATCAAACGAAAAAGATTTGATCAAGAGGCAAAGGAATAGAAAAAGAAGATAATTAAATTTGAAGCAAAGTGAAAATTTACTCTTACATGTGAATCAAAGTAAAATCGTAAAACTTCGTTTTGCGACCTCGTTTCAAACCTATCAGCTTCAATAATAGAAATTTGGCTCAACGCTTGATCTGGTATAAAGTAATTGAAAAGAAAAAATCAAGGGGTGAAAAAAAACTGCAAAGAACCCTTAACAAAGCCTTTGTTGTTGACTTAAAGGACTTAACAATCTATTTTACATTTAACCCCTTTTTAGGAGGTAACAACTGCACCCGGTCCAGCTCTAATTTACCGCACTATCGGTGGTAATCTAGACCTCTACTTCTTCCCAGGTCCTACACCTGAAGAAGTCACTCAACAGTACCTCGCCTTGATTGGTACGCCATTCTTGCCATCGTATTGGGCTTTAGGATTTCAGGTGGGCGAAATCATATA